ATAACTACTCATTCCTGTGGGGTAGAATAGTGAAATGCCACTTGCAGGCCACACACAAAAATTAACATCAATTCAGCCTCCCAATGCAGACCCCGAACTGCTGACTTGTCATAATGAATGGAAATCTTTTATCTACAGGTTTCTCCATAGAAAAATTTAGCAAGATTTTAGCATAGAGAAAATGAAGCAAAATGGTCGTTAGTACCATATTCTTTTATAAAGATGAATCCTGATAATTTTCCCTACAATCAAATATTTGTTTTGATACACCATTCATGGTTCTTCATTGGTAAAATCACTTACATTTTAACTGCTTTCTTTGTTTATATTAGCTATTGGAATTTTTCCAAAACTTGTTTCTTGTAATTTTTTATTGAATGGATTCACAATTGCCATTTAAATTCTGCTAGGATGGCTTTTCATATAATCCCAAATAATAATCATAGGAAAAGGAACCAGTATAAAAACTGAGGTGTATATTTTCAAATGACAATTCCAGCACAAAGAGCATTCTTTAGGGTTTAAAGATACCAAAGGTTGAAGTTAAGTTTCAGTCCTTTGGCTGAAGAAATAAAATGTATTCTCTTCAAATATTTTTAAAAATTATTTGTTGGTCTATAGAATGCTTTCGGATCAACCTTTCTCTGTTCCCACCCTGTGTCCCCATTGTCTATATGAATCCTGGATCATTGTGGACAAGGAAGGATAAACAGGCACAGACCTATAATTTGTCGTTGGTAATGGGGGCAGGGGATGAGGAAGTGATTTGTTTAAAAATAAGACCCCTTAGGGTAGGGGTGTAGCTTAGTGGTAGAGTTCTTGCCTTGATGACAAGGCCCTGGGTTCAATTCCCAGCACCACAAAAAGAAAAAAGAAGAAAAGAAAAATAAGAATAAATAAAAATAAGATATCTCATATCAATAAATATTTACTTCTTTGGACATGAAATACTTTGTTACACACTGTTATATACTTATATACTTTGTTTTGTGTATACTGTAATAAGCTTGAAAATACAATAGGCTAGTTCAAAATCATTTCCTTTTTAAATTTTAATTATACAAGTATTCTCAGGTATACTTAAGAATCATTGGTATAAGTTTTTAAAAAAGATTTAACTTTCTGCTCCTGCCTGTTGTGAATGGTTTTGTTCCTTGAGCTTATAGGGATCCTGCTCATTATAACAAAACCTAGATTGTTCTGTTTTTCTCTTAAAGTACTATCAGAGATAATTCAACAGAACTGTGTATTATAATTAGCCAGTAGAACAGTAAACCTAAGTCTAATTCAGTATTTGGGGGTTCTAATTATACTGCTACAATTTCAAATAGTAGTACTTTAATTGTCCTTGAACTTTCCTAGAATAAAAAAATATAAAAATAGGTAAGTAAGAATAATGTAAAATATCAAAAACAAAACTGAAACATCAAGGATTTCTGATTTTTTATAATTCCCTTGTTCTAGTTACCACCATGATGGGTTCAACATGAAGATCACTATAACAACCACACATCACTCCAGTGCCTGGTACCCTGTATGCAGTACATTCCAGGAGCAAGAACTGTAAGCATTGAGCCCTGGTGTAGGCAATAAGGAGTTCAGTGATGGTAGAGAATTAAAAACAATGAAACCTGTGAAAAAGTCAGTCTGCTTTTCTACTTTGAGCAACAATGATAATGATAAATACTCCTTATTGGTGAGAGGCTTCCCCTACCCCACTGTTGGAAAACTACTGCTCCTTTAAGGCTCAGAAAGACTACATCCAAAGTATTTGAAATGTTTATTGCAGAAAGACCTCATTCTCGCCTTTCTTTTTAATTTTTGAAAATATAAAAGTTTTATCAGTCTTAATGAAAGCAGCCCACTTGTTATAACTTTAAGTGCAAAATATACATAATACATGTTTCATAATCCAGTGAAGTTGAAAGAGGAGTTGTGGACATGACTCTGTACTTAGAACTTCAGATGCTACCGCCCTCGTGTTTCTATGTACCTAAGGAAATAACTGAAAGATCAAAGCATGTCATGCTTGCTTTTAATATCTGACAACATGCGTTGAACACAGAACTCAACCCCTACTAAGGATCTGAGTCCTTTATAATTCATCCTAAGACTTAATGTAAGACTTTATCTTTTTCAAGTAAGGCATCTTACTTGAAATGTTTTAAAACAGCATTCATAATTGTATGGCCCACATTAATATAAATAAGGCAATGGCTATTGACAATATAGTTCACATAACTGGAGATCATATGTGTTTTTGCTGATGCCCAAGTTCATGGAGCTGTGAAGAATTTAGGGTATATACACACACTAACAAAAGGAAACAAACATTAAAGTACAAAGTGGGCTGGGAGTATAGCTCAGAGAGCTTGCCTAACATGCCTGAGGCCCTGGGTTCATTCCCCAGCACTGAAAAAAGAAGAAAAAAAAAAGAAGAAAGAAAGAAAACAAGAAAGAAAAAAAAGCAAAAACTAATTCTGTCAATGTTCTCACCATCTATATGTACAGAATTCTCCCAACTCTGTTATTTATAACATGCTGGGATTAGGGAAGAAAATACTATTTTACAGAGCCAGATATGCTCTATTAAATGCTGCTATAGGCAGACAATAAAAGAACATGATGAACAAAAAAGGAAAACCACATTTTGTATACATACAAAAAGGCAAACACAATGACAAAATGTTTGCAAGAAAAGCATGTAAAGAGTAAAATTTATTATTAGTATATTTTTAAACATAATTTTATTTGTCCACATGAAGAAATGGTCAACATCACTGGCCATTAGAGAAATGCAAATTAAAACAACATTGAGATTCCATCTTACTACAGAAAGAATGGAGATCATCAAGAAATCAAATAATAACAAATGCTGGCAAGGCTTCGAGGGAAAAAAAGGAACCCTTCTACATTGTTGGTGGGAATGTAAACTAATACTACCTGTCATTTTCAAAAGTGCCAAAACTATTACCATTTGCTTCAATATTTCTGAAGTAAAACTAAATTCTGACCTCCACAGTACAAGCTCTTCAAATAAATACACTGCAGTTTCATCACCTTTCATTAGGCAGATGGGTGAATGGATGGTGTTGTGGCTTGTGTCTAGGTGTCCCCCCAAAAGCCACATGGAGTCTTTTTTGAAGGTAGTTAAATCTGGAATGTGTGGTGCTAGGATTAAGGGTGTGTGATTACTAAACCACTACACATAAGTGATTGGTCTGGGATCGCCCTAATCCCATTAGTATGAATAAGATAAAAGGAGCAGAAAGACACTGTTGAGGTCCCTTGTTACTTTTGCTACCTAGCAGACACTTTGAACCGTTTCTCCTCTGCAATGCCCCTCCTGCCTCTCTTGCTGCTTTTGCTGGTTCTGTAGTCATGAGCGGTTGACCCTCTGCCACCCTGCCTTGGAGCCGGCTGATTATGGACTGAAACCTCTACAAACTGTGAACTAAATAAACCCCTTCCCATTTAACTGTGGGTGTCGGGTATTTTGTCTTAACAACAAGGGAAAAGTAACTAACACAGATGGATAACAAAGTAAACAAATACACATAAGCCCATCCACTCATTTATCTAATATATATTAAAGCAGATATTCTACCCAGAAACCAGAAATTCAAGGTTTTCACATTTTCCATATTTGAGAAACACTCTGAAATTGTTTTTAAAGAAATTCAAAATAAAAAAAGATACCACTGAAAGAAATTTTCAGGAAAGTCTGCTATGATTTTAAGTAGCTAATGACAGTAATTAACTTACCTGCCATCTCGCTGGGCGGCACCACCATCTGTTACTGTCTTGACGAATATTCCCAGCTTCTCAAGTCCTGCATCTGCTCCGACACCCATTCCAATAATACTTATACCAAGACCATCCTCATCTATGGAAAAAAAAATTAAGTTTTATACTGGTTCTGGTGACTGAATTAGCAGGTAAGTCCTGTTTGCTGCTTCTAGTTTTGTTCTTCTTTATGGATAGGGCATATGTGCTCCCCCCAGCAGAATTTTTTCTGTACTGGAGATTAAGGTTATCAAGTAAGATTCCCCAAAGGGCTCGTGAGTTTCCTTATCATTTCTGGTAATTCATTGTGGTCCCAGAGAAGACAGTAATTTGGTTATTGAATAATCAATCTACCTTAAAACACAGACTCTCTATATAATCCTATAAGTTATTTTAGGCCTAAATATACACATACTCAAATACACATATAATTCTAAATAAATGTGATTCATATTGGAATTTCTTCCTTATTTATGAGGTCATCTGTTCTTTTTTACTTATTTATTCATGGTAATAAGATAGTATATTTCTCTAAGTACTTTCTTCTGTGCCACAACACAAGTTCATATACTTATCAACAGATACATTACACAGATACATTACATATGCATGCACAGGCACAGGCACACACACAGCTTTTTCTTTACACCAGTGAAATTATATCTACTCTCTGCAGCTTACTTTTTGAAATTCAATGATACCTCATGGACACTGCTGTGGTCTGTATCTAGATGCCCCTCAAGCCTGATGGGATCACACGTTGGACCTTTGGAAGGTGGCTGGACTTGGGATGTCAAAGCTAACTTGCTATTAGGAGCTGGGGATCCCTGTGGGCATGACCTAGAAGGGTATGCTTCCCTTCTCTGCTCTTCTCTTGGTTCTCTGTTTCCTAGATGCCATGAGGTGAGCAGCTTTCCTCCATCAGGCCCTTCCACCATGCTGCTGCACATTACAGCCAGCTGATTACGGACTGAAACCGCTACAAACTCAAAACAAATCTCTCCTCCTTTAAGTTGTGGGTGTTGGGTATTTTGTCCCAATAATGAAGAAAAGAGACTAAGAGAGATATCAACTAACATAACTCTAAATCATTTCTAGTGACTGCATGATATTTCATGAGATGCTCTCATAACACAGTAAACCACTTCTCTATTGTCAGGCGCTCTCCTTTCTTTCCATTTTATTGGCCCTGTGAGGAATACTGAGGTTTTTTAAAATTCACTTACAAAATCATATTTCCATTTGTATCTGCCATGAACATACATCGATAGGCTAACATTGATGAAATAAAAGACCCACTATTTTATACACTACACTTTTTGGTTAGCATTCAAGGTTATTTTCTGATAACCTCAAAGTCTTGGTAATTAGCATTTATCAACAGTATAAAAATAGATTTATATTAGTGATAGACTAATGGCATCAACAATGATTACAGAAAAACTAGCCTACATATTCAACAGAATGCTTCATGCTTTTAAAAGACTTTTTAGCAACAACCTTTATTTCATGAAGTATTCAAAATTAGCATTTCTTTGAATATGGCTTGTCTCATTGATTATTAGATGTCACTAATATTTGACTTAAATTCAACTTCTGCTCTAAGTACAACTAACACAATCATACCTTTTTGTTATTGATATGTTAAAAAAGATGTTGTGTGGCAAGAATATTGTTTGCTCAGTTGTATGATAAAGAAATCTTTCTTGGGAAGGTAACGGGCATTTTCACTGAGCTACATCCTTAGCCCTTTTTAAAAATATTTTTATTTGGAGACAGTGTCTCACTAAGTTGCCCAGTGTGCTTGAATCTGAGACCCTCCTACCTCAGTCTCTATAGTGCTGGGATTACAGGCATGTGCCACCATGCCCAGCTTGTTGAAGGAATCTTTATGTATAAGGTTTCCCTGGATGAGGGTTCAGGTATGAACCCCAGCGGAAGACATTTCCATATTGATTCTAGGCACAGGTACATTTCTCCAGTGTGAAAACTTTAATGTTAACTAATGTATGAGAAATCAAAAAACACTTTCCTCATTCATTACATTTGGAATGTTTGCATACATATGATTTCTCATATGTATCTCACTGAAATTGCTTCTCTGCTGCCCTGAAGTTCATCAAGAGGATTTCTCTTGCTAAAGATTTGCCTACATGGATTGCATAGTTTTAGGATTTCTCCCCAGAATGAGTTTTCTTGTGCACATGGTGGCTAGATATGTGCTGAAGGCTCTTCCACACTGGCTATGCGTATAGGGTTTCTTCTCTCCTACATGAATTTTCCTCTGTGTATCAAGATTAGCTGATGGCTAAATTCTTGTGCAATCATCACATTCACAGAATTTCCCTAGGGTATTCATGTGTTCTTGCAGCCCTTCCATGGTGTTTGTATCCATCTAACCCCCTCACCCCGCTGTATTACTCTGGTGTTAAGAGATGATCATGGAGATTCCTCCACACTGAAGAGTGTCATAGGCTTTCTCTCCTGTATGAAACCTCAAGGGGATTAGCATTCAGCCTGACTTCTTGCTCACACTCACTATACTTACAGGGTTTCTCCTTGTGATGAATTGCCACATGCCAAACCAACTTGGGAGCTATAAGCAAACCATTTCTATACTCATTATATGAGAAGAGCTCCTCTCAAATGAGAAATCTCTGCACTATCAGGTCATTAAATTCCTGTAACTACTCTATATGAAAATTAATTCCTGGTTTTTTTGTTTTGTTTTGTTTTTGGTACCAGGGATTGAAATCAGGTCCTTGTGCTTGCAAGGCAGGCGACGGAACCACTGGGCTAAATCCCCGGCCCAATTCCTGGTTTTTAATCTATTTCCCTACCTAGACTGGGGCCATCCTAAAATTATTTTTCTTCCTTTCATGACTCCTTTCACTCCTCTAACTAGAAAATTACTAAGATGTTCTGGGCTGAAAATCAGCTGTGGGAAAAGCAATATTAACTACAGCCATCTTGAATTCTAGTGCAGACTATCTATAAGAAGGCCATGATGAAGACCAAAACAAGGAAGCTCAAGATTGGCCCCCAGAGACCAAATGACTCTTGTTCTCAGGCATCTCACCTTTTCTCCAGTCAGGGGATGTGTGTCAAGTACGAGTTAACATCAGTCAGAACCAACATTTGAAGTCCACTAGGTCCTGTGGCTGCACTGGCAAGAACCCAGCATTCCCCCAACCCCACCTACCACTATCTTCCTATGTATACATTCCGAATTACAGGATGAATTCATATGTTACCGCTCAAACAGAACTCCCAGCAAAGCTGTGTTGTCAAAGGATATTTTGTAAAATAGATTAAAAATTTTAAATGGAAAAATATAGACCTGTTAATGTTATGTTTGTTTGCTTTTGAGACAGGGTCTTGCTAACTCATTAAGCTCCCCAGGCTGGCAACTAGCAATCCTCCTGACTCAGCCTCCCCCCCCAAAAAACCAATACCACTGATAATTATTTGGACTGTTCTCATTTTTTTATTAGTGATACAAAGCCACAGTCACTTCTAGCTGTTTTTGTATGACCCTTAAACTAAGAATGATTTTTACCTTTTTAAATTTATGAAAAGTGTAAGCATCGTTATTTTACTTTCATCCCAAAAGAAAATGTCTCTTATTTTATTTATTTATTTATTTATTTATTTTTGGTACCAGGGATCGAACTCCGGTCCTTGTGCTTGCGCAGCAGGCGGTGAAACCACTGAGCTAAATCCCCGGCCCAAGACAATGTCTTTTAAAGTAACTAATCAGACATGTTTAAAACTGGTGTTCCTCACAGCTTCTTCACTCATGCAATTTTATGCTTAATCCTCATACAATTTTCACCTCTTTTTTTCTCACCTGTGCTGTTTTGAACAAGGTGTTGTCTTTTTTTGTTCTCTCCTAACTGGAAAGTAAATTACACAGATAAAGTATATAGTTGATGTGTTCTATAAACCTTACACATCTGCAAAAACATTTCTTTTCCTAGTATAGGTAAATACAATCTGGCACCAACAGGGATTCCTGATCACTATCCTTTTGATTCTCAGTGGCCTATGAAATTATAGGTACATCTCCCTGGTTCTGGTACTGCAAATAAGTCTGACACTAGTCTCTTCACTTTGCCCTTTCAAATGCCTTGGCTTGTTTGTTTGTGTTGAGACTTTTTGGTCTGGTATTTGGTAAGGTTTTTGCTTTATTTTTGAATATCAGGATTTCCCCAGCCCATACCTAAATGTGGGATCAGTTTGGTGTTTATTGTTATTGTGTCCTTTAGCCTTCTCCTTCACAACTAAAATAAGCTGGAACCTCTGAGGCTGTGAGCCAAATCAAACCTCCTTTCCTTTAAATTGTGTGAGCTGGGTAGGCATTTTATCCAGCAAAGGAAAAGCCAATCAGTAGTATTGCTGTTTGCTGATTTGCCTAAGAATGCCTTTTTAAAGCCACATTTGAATATCCTTGAGTGAGTTTTCTTTTGTTTCTGTTATTCAAGTTATCATGTCCCTATTGCACTTTTTTCCAAAGCCCTCTCAGCAGGATTCTGTTCACTGTGTCACAGCCTGGTTCCTAGGCACCCCTCTTCCATAATGACAAACACAGCGGCCTCTCAGCACATGATCAGTGGTTACTGTGGCAGAAAGGTCATCAGAGAGGTCACTATAAAGCTCCTTCATCTCCTGGCTCCCTTAGAGCCCTCTGCCCTCAGAGATAGAGAATACAAGCCTGTTAGCTAAGTCCTCCTGGGCCCTATGGCCTTCCACCTAAATGTTTGGGTTTATTTTTTGGTTTTTTTGGTACCAGGGATCGAACTCAGGACCTTGCACTTGTGAGGCAGGTGCAGTGCCACTGAGCTAAATTCCCGGGCCATACTATTTGGAAGGCATTTCCCAACTCCTACCACATTCTGGGCCTGATCAAAACTTCTCTACATCACAGAACAAAAACAAAACACAAATCCTCCAGGAGACACAAACAACTTTCTGCCCCAAGTGCTCTCTTGGCCTGGCTCGCTCTGGGCTCTTTCACCTGCACAGTTTCTCCAGGACACCAATGAGCTTAGGCTTACCCCTACCTCCCCCATCTTCACCAGCACTTCAGTTGAACTAGAGCAGATGGGGCTCAGTTTGGAGTGGGAGAGATGCAGAAATCTTTCAATCTGTCCTCTACCTAAAATCCACATTGACTCATTTTCAGGGATAATAGATAAGCCATCTGGACAGTTAAAACTTTATCCAGCTCTTAGAGAAAAGGCTATACTTAGGAAAACATCTGCATCACTCACACAGCCACATAACAATGCTGGGAACACTGAAGTGCTGTTGCCCCAATCAAACATTTGTAGCTGAGTACCTTTTTCTAGTTCCACTGGGAAAAGCTCCAACTTCTCTACACGCTTTTCAAGTTCATACTCGGCAGATGCGGCCACAGGGTCAACTTCATCGTTTCTCCTGTCATAGTCTTCATTGGAGTAAGTGCTGAAAACCTGTAATAAGAGGCCAAAAACACAATGATAATACAGAAAGGACAGGCTTCTGAATGAAAACAACCACAAAAACTTCTAGATATCCAGAACTATATATCTCAAAAAACAATCAGTTTGATGTCTTCTAGGTAAAATTGATTGGGTCATTAGGAGAAAGAAAACTGAATCAGAATAAAAATAATATTAATTTTAAAATGAGTCATCTTATCAATTTTAATAATTTTTTTAAAAACGTTAGCCACAGAATAGGTTATCTGAAGAACCATATTCATCACCTTCTATACCCTCAGGATAGACCGTATTAATGGCAACATTCTGCTCTTTCCTGATAAAACCAATGCATACTGGCAAACACTCACACATTTCATGATATGGCTCAAACCAGTCCCAAGGGTATAATGGCCATATTATAATTACATTTTAATCACAGAATCTCCCAAACTTATTTCTATCCTGTATTATCCTGGGCCATGTTAAATAGCTCTCATTTTATGTGTATACAGACTTAAGTGAAATTTTAATTGGACTTTTCCATAAAATGGCTATCAAAATGTTGTTCAAAAGCTGCTGAAAAAATAGGGAATTCACAGTTCTTTATTTCTGACCGAAATCATTTAGATTTAGTCATAGGAAATTTTACTGTCCTTATTTATGCTGAAATATTTGTATGATTTGAAAATAACTCTCAATATTTACGAATATTTAAAAGAAATGCATAATTCATCAAGTCTAGTTATTAGCTATGACAAAAACTGACATTTTCAATTAAATTCATCAAATGACTACTCCTTAGTATAGTAGTGAGTATCCCTGCCTGTCAATTAAATTCAACAATTATTGAAGATCTCAACTGTGGCTGAAAAAACTCTGTAAACTCCCTAAACTTCTAAAAAATTATACACACACACACACACACACACGTATCACAAGTTTGGGAAGGGCTTGGAATGTAGCTCAGTGGTAGGGCACCACCCCTGGCTCAATCTCCAGTACTGCAGAAAGCAAAAGGAAAACAACAAAAACGAAATTAGAATAAAAATAGCAGAACAGAAAGAGGAAGATGAAAGGAATTATGTCTATTGTCTCCGAACCTGGTCCTGCCATTCCACATAAGTTTTACATGCACTTTCACTAGAAAACTGGCTTCCTTTTCCTTCTTTTGGGCAGTACTAGGGATTGAACACAGGACCTTAAACAGAGCTACATACCCAGCTCTTGTTTTTTTTTAATCCAGCTCTTGTTTTGTTTTGTTTTGTTTTGTTAATTCTTTTGGGAAGATACCCAGCAGTATATCCAGCTCTTTTCAAAAAATTTTGGAACAGGTTCTCATTAAGTCACTAAGTTGGCCAGGGTGAGGCTGATTTTCAGATTCTCCAGCCTCAGACTTACAGAGTGTGGGATTATGCACTACCACACCCAGCTTTATATTTTACATATGATAATCTACAAGCCAACAATACATACTATTTACATAAAAACAAATGTGCTATGGTTCCTGATAGCATATACTTCTCAAAATTATATCCTTCGTAGGGTTTGCACCTAAATGGATCCTGTTTTTCTTACTGACTTTCAACATGTTTTTACAGGCTCATGCCACTTGTATCTTTGCTTGGTGTCTGCCATGTTTTTCCACCATAGTAAACATCACTTCATCAAAAATGTATACGTGAACAAGATGTGATCAAATGTATGGTGAATATTTACATTTTTAAAAAATTATTACAATAAAAGACACATTGCCATTAATCCCCCTCAAAATACTCCATCTTGCTTCAAATACACTTAACCCATCATTCTTGCCACTTTGTGAAGCACTTCTGGAAGTCCTCTTCCACATGTCTTTATGGAGGGTGGTCAACAATCTGGTGAACACTGCTGCTAAGTGCCATCCAATGGAAAGGGAGGCTCATAAAAGCATTACTCTGAGTCCTGACCCACCTTATCATTCATCTAGCACTGTGCAACTTCTGGCTCTTCCCCAACATCAAAATGATCACAAAAGGTAAATTTTGAATTGATTCAAGGCATCGAGACAGCTGCAACAGTGGACTAAAGACATTGAGAAAGAGATGGCAAGAAAAATGGGATGCATGTGTTTGGGAACAAGGGAGAGCATTTTGAGTGAGATTAATGGTAATGTGTCTTTCACTGTAATAAATTTTTTAAAATTTAAACATTCATCATATTTTGCACACCTCATATACTCATGAGTTAGTATTTTTATCATTTTAGAAAAAATGCTTCTGAGGCCTCTTTCACAGAATTCTCTACTATTATCCTAAATTGTTAGATTTAAGATTTTTTTTTAGCCCTTTTGATCCTTCACTTCTCTTATATTTTTGGTAATCATTTATTCACTCAACAAAACGTTATACAGTACCAATGTCTATGCTAGACATTGCAGAGGCATAGTCTTAAGTAGCTTCACAGCTCAGAAGGAACACAAATCAAAATGAACAACTACTATATAATGTGAGTGACAGCTGATGTAACAGAAGATTATTTCAAGTCAATTTTTTTTAACTGCCTGAGAAAAGAAAGGTTTTGTGGAAGGGAGGATGTGTGAGTAAATCTCAAAGAACAAACAGGAATTTCTTCATTTAACTGCAGAAGAGAAGAACAATGAATTCCAAATATAAGACCATACAACAACAAAAAGTAGATAAGCAGACAGGCAGAGAGTGTTTTGGAAAACCATGCTAGGGAAGTAAACTTCAAACACACACACACACACACACACACACACACACACACACACACCCACACACGAATGTATCAGGGGCTGGGTCTTACATGTCTTGCCTAGAAACCACTAAGCTATATAATTGGAATTTTTCCCTTTAGTCTTTGCCACTCATATACTTCTGTCAATAGGTCCAAGCCTATAATTGAAGAACATAGTAAATAAATGTGTGTGCATGCACATGTGTGTATATGTGGAGTATAGGACAAATGTTTAAATCAACATTTTCCTCATTTTTTTCAAGGTCCTAAACATTGTTATCAAAATATTCTCCCCCAAATTAGGCTGGTTCATTTTTGGATATTCTGAAATTATGTAAAACAAATAAAACTTGTAAGACTGTATATTAGAAAATGATAATTTTTTCAAAATCTAACAATAAGGTGGCTATACCAACATATTCTATAGAAAAGAAATAATGATGGGGCCAGGTATTTAGCTCAGTGGTTCTGCCACTTGCCTGGCAAGCACAAGGTCCCAAGTTCGATCCCTCATACCAAAAAGAAAAAAAAAAGAAATAATGAAAGGTACTTTTCATCTTTAGCTTGCTAATAATCTGGCAAACTATGTGCACATGCATAAAAAGCTATAAATAAGTTGAAAAGTCATAACTCATCTATTATTTCCAGATTAAAATATCATTTGCTCGTAAAGTCCAAGAAATTAAAAAGAAAAATTATTAAAACTAGTAATAGTACTGTAAGAAATGTTAATTTTGAAAGATCAACAGCTTTAGAAATATAACCAAAAGAAACTTAATAAAATATTCAGTAATTATCTATAAGTGTGCAACAATTTCCTTCTCTATAAAAGTGAAGAACACACAAAAAAGAAAACAAATATAATATAATCAAGAATATATTATATTCTTGAATTAAAATCTTAAATGTTGTAAATCTATCCATGCTCCCACATTACTATAAATTTCCACTTACCCCAATAACTTATGATTAGAAGTAACCTAGATTAAGAACTCACATTTTTTATGAAAACTAACAAGCAATTTGAAAAACTGTAAAGGATGGAAATGAGCCCAGTGGATATCAAAACACAATAAATTTTCATTAAGACAATGTAGTTTTGACCCTAGGGTAATTTATTTTTGTACCTTTTTTGTTTTACTTCTTTTCTTTTCTATTCAAATTAGTTACAGTGGTATTTTAATTAAATGGTATGAAAAAAAGTTACCCATCTGAAGAATATTCCTATTTTGTATCATGAATAAAAACAGAACTCAGATTGTTTAAGAACAGAAAATACATATTCATCACTGGGTATTGCTGGGGATTGGTCAAGGACCTCTCACTCCCCATTGATACAAAATATGTGATGCCTAAGTCTCTTCTGTAAAATTACTTAGTATTTCCATATAGCCTGCACACAGCCTCCCATATATTTTAAATCATCTCTAAATTATACTGCCCAATGTAAATGCTATGTAAATAGTTGTTATTTATATTAAGTAAGGATGACAAGGAGAAAAATCTACATATTCTGTAAAAGTGCTAAAAGAAAATGTAGGACTATGCTTAATAGGCCAGAGAGATATTCATAGACCCTAGAAGTTTAAGAGAAATTAATGAACTGTTAGCATAAAAAGCAAAGCTAAGGTGCAGGAGGTAGAGCTCAGAGGGAGAGCTCTTGCCTAGCATGCATGAAGCCTGGGTTCAATCCTTAGCAATATAAAAATGAATAAAAATAAATAAAATTGTAATTGAGGACAAAAAAATATTTCATAATGAAGTTATAATAAAAATCACAGATTAGTAGGAGAAAATATTAATATGAATCTTCAGAATATATAAAAGGCTTTCTCATCTGAAAGAATTGCATTTGTAAGTAAATAAAGGGAACTGAGAATTTAACAAAGAAATACTAACATCCAGCAAATTATATAAAGATGTTCAGCTTCATTAAAAAGTAAGCAAATACAAATTAAGTCAAGGAGATACCATATTCCAATATGTAATGTCTGTAAGGATATGGTGGGAAAAAACTATGCAAAAAATCAAAAGCAGCATAATTTGAGAGTAGCAATCACTAACGTGAATGTAAATACCATTGAGCAAATGTTACATCCATTTATTTATAGAAATACTTGCAAATGTAAATGAAGATATACGCACAGGAAGTTCATCATAGCACAATTTATAACGACCCCAAGTGGGAAATGACCTAGGTGCCCTCCCACAGAGAAAATAGTTTGCTAAATTATAATCTATTCAAATATATGTCTATGAGGTGATTGAAGAAA